TCAAAAAGGGGTCCCCCCTCTCCCCCCTTTTTCCCGGGGGGTTGGGGGGGGGGGGGCTAGGATGCTGTGGTGACGAGCTTCGCGGGCCCCCCTGCACGCGCTCGGCAAGAAGGAGGATGGAGAGGGGGTGTAGAGAACGCGCACGCCTGGAAAAGGAGGCATCTCTCTTCCCGCGACGGAGAGTTGTGTGCGCGACGTGGGTGGGGCAAAAGCCACACCACGATCAGCCGTCGGTGTATAGATGGGTGAAAGACCCTTTTGTGTGGTACATACGTGTGTCGTTTTTCGGTGGCGGTAGGTCATCAAGGAGCGTTTCGTTGTCTGCGATCGTCGAGCTCTTCGTGGAGGCGGTCGTCGAGCGAGAAAATTTTGCTGCAAGCGGCGTGGTCCTAATTATTAGTCGGGAGAGAGAGAGAGAACATGCGCCTGCATGCTGCGGCTGTTCTCCCGAAAACGTTTACAGAGCTTTGTTTTGGCTCCGCACTATATATGTCCTGTCGTGTTTGGGCTCTTCCGCTGCGTTCCGAAGCTAGCTTTCTTGTTCTTTCGCTGTTTTCGTCTTTTTGCCAAGCGTTTATTGTCTTTTCCGAAGTGTCATTTTTATTATTATTTTCCACGAAGTTTGGAAGGTAACTCTCTGACAAACAACGAGGGGGCGACACCGGTCGCTTCCCTCTCTCATCTAGAATCCAAGTTCCCTTTCATGTCAACTGGCCGGGCCTAACAAAATGCCGTCTCAGTATACCGAGACCCCCAATGGTACTCTACCATTGACATCCACCAACATCGACGTTTAGTGGGACGGCATTCTGTCTCCCTTGCCCGTACCTTCGTGTATGCTAGCCCTTCTTCTGCTCCGTCTTCCTTCCCTTTGCTAGTTTACGGGATACTATGTCTACGTCCACCATACTGTCCCGAGTATATATCTTGAACGTACCGGAACCTTCCTTCCATCTACCCACTCTCTGTATAATTCTATCCGGTACGTCTCCTCCCGCTGCCAACGTGGTGGCGGCCCCGATCCTCAACGAATGCAAGCCAACCTGCCTTGGGTCGCCACCTACCTTCTCCACAATCTGGCGAAGGGCGCTAAGAGCTTTGGAATATCCCCAAACCTTAACCGTATTGATTGCTCCTGCTGCAGCGAAACGAGCACAGAGGGGCGTTCTCAGGCAAAGCAAGATGGCACGCCATCAATTCCACCAACACCGCCACGGCACCGCCACCGGCACCAATCTGAGAACTCCCGCCTCGTGCTACATCGCGCACTCGTGTAACGTATGCCCCCATTTCCGACTGATCTCCCTTGTGGCCACGAAACCGAACCCGAACACCCGTAGCCTTGTGCCAGTGCAACGGGGGTAACACGTGCTCCCCGTCGGAAAACTCGACGTCGCTCCGCCGCAAACAATGCACCTGGTGGCAGTGTCCCGACATCGTGGCAAAAATCTCATCCGAACGCGCCACCAGAAAATACAACAACACCAAGCATAGCCACAGGACCTACCGCCCGTCCCCCACAACGCCGTCAGCTGCTGTCCCTCCAACAGCGTCTCTCACGAGACGGGAACACGACTCCGACGTTTCGTATCCGCTCGCACGTGGGCACGTGCAACACCCAACAAACTCCGTTTGATGAGGGGCTCACTGGTCGGCAACTCAATCCTGCCTATAGACGCGATGAAAATACTGTACAGCGGCCAGCTTGCCGGAAATGGTCGATGCAACGTTACCCTTATCTGCACAACGCCACGCCACAAACTCCAGGAGTGCTTGTCCCAGCACCGTATCGTCCGCCTCCCCCGAGAGGTACTCCGACTCGCCAATCAACCCGCGAAAAGCACACCAAGCCCGCCAACCCGACATGTAAGTTCTTCGAGACGACTGCGCAACTGACTCGCGGACGTACTCACGGCTAAGACGCCGGTACAAAGATCGGCGACCTCCGGGTCCAAGACCTGTTGGCGCCACGCGACATTGGGACGGGACAGGCGAAGGTGTGCGTCAATGGTCTCCGGCTCCGATCGTGAAATACCATCTGCAACCGTGTTATCGACACCCTTAACATGAGCCGCCTCAAAGCACCACCCACTGCCCATCTCCAAACAACCGAGCATACGCATAAGTGCCCCCGAGGGGGGCTCGCTGCCCCCCCGACACTTGTTCACCCAAGCCACACTCGAGGAGTTGTCTCCCATCATACGGATGCTATTGCGAGCGTAGTCCGGCCTCATGTCCGATTGCACAATAAACACCCAGGCGCCAACCACCATCGCGAGGAGTTCGAGCGTGTTGATGCTCAAATAATCGCGCACCTCAGCCTGCTGGCGAAACCTCTCCCGCACTTCCTGACTGAATTCGAAACGCCACCATACTCCCGAACGGAATTCAGCATGCAAGAAATACCCCCCCATGGCATCACCAGATGCATCTGACCACAAAAACACGAATATGGTTGATCGAAAAACAAAAAAGTGGGGCTGTTAACAACCGCGACGGCGACCCCAAGCCCCCTTCTACCATCAGACGCCAAAACTGCATATCCGCATGAAACTCGGGACCTATCCGCTTCCGCTCCTGCCCCCGGGCTGTCAATTGCACCGGCGGTAGCCCCAACTGGTTGAGCATACGGCGAACAAAATATTTACCAGGCCGCACGACTTCACAGTTATGTAACGGCGAACCAATCACCCCCCGCAACTCGGACTCAGAAGCACAGTGGCGTGTGGGGGGCCAATCGCGGATTGTCGCCCGCAGCCGTGCCAGCTTGTCTGTGGGAACCGAAATCGTCATAGCTACCCTATCAATGTCCCACCCTAGCACACACAACCGTGTTTGCCACGAAGAGAGTTTACGCGGAGACAGCAGGGGGGGGTCTCCAGGCCCTCGTGCGCCAAACACACGGAAATGGTCCGATGCACATGACGCGGAAGCTACTTTACACCGTGCGCCAGTCGGAGTCCACATGACTTCGACAAGGATACCATCGTCTACATAGAACTTCACGAAAAACGAGTCGGAACGACCGCCTCCCGAACCGGGGGGAATGCGACACCCAGGGGGAAAGGGGGGTGACGTCTCCCGTTCGCCAGGCGAGGGGACCTCAACATGGTCCGTGGCTCTATGTCCTAGCTCGGTAACGACTGCATTAGCCAACGACGTGTGATTGTGAGAGTGCTCCAACGCCGCAGTCACGACACAAAAATTGCCAGGCGAATTGCGTCACCCAAACACCAAGCGAGAATCTACCACGACCAAGTCTCCAACCGAGTAACCAAACACGGGAGCTCCCGACCATTGGACCGCTACCTGCCGAAACGCGTCAGTAACGTCAATCTTACTTAACACGATCCGGGCCGACGGACCGTACTTCCTCCGCAGCCATAAAATGCGCCACACAACGTCCGCAACACGTTACCTAACGCGACCTTCGGCGCCACCTCCGAATCCGTATCGGCATTGGCACTACGCGACGGGGGGGAGCATTCAAACGTCAAGTCATTGATAATACGAGTTTTGCTGGGCGACACGACCACGCCCAGCGGGGACAACCGCAACCCCGGAATCGATTCTGCGTCGTTCCGCGGGAACACAAACGCCCGCCCGAACCGCACGTCATCAAACACTTTTCTGAGAATGGTGTCGGAGTGTGGGGCTACACTACGGTGGTTACCATACGACAGCGCCTCTGCAATTTCGGAAGATCCACACACGGGCACGACGGCGCCACGCTCCACAATAGCGGCGACGGTCTCTGTTTGAGGAAACCCCTTCATGCGTCCAAACCAAAACCGAATAAAATCAGGCCGCACCCGCGGCACTCCGATGCCGTTTTCAATGGCTTGCATGCATTCAAAGCGTCCCCCGTGCCGACGTAAAAACCTAAAGCCTTTCACCGCGATCTGCGCAAGTATGGTGGCACGTGGCGTTCCCTGCTCGACGTTCTGAGACATAGCATGTACCATGGAAACAATACGCCGAACGTCATGGCAATCTAAAGTACCAACCCCACCTCGGGTCACCGCAGTAGCCGCCCTCGGTCGCAGGAGGTTCGTGCCCGAGCCCGAGATCACGCCCCCCACGACATCTAAAGACGGCTCTCCCCCCCCCGGGGGGCAGGGCCCGCACCCCTATTCGTCGGTATCGCCCCCCGCGCCGCTGCCGCCGCCGCCACCGCCTTTCGTGCTGCCGCGAGTCTTCGAACCGACCAACACCGCCTTGGCCCGTTTCGCCGTGGGGGCGTCGGCGGGAGCGGCGTCGGCGTCGGCGGTGGAGGGGGTACCTTTCGAATCGCCGTCGTCGGCGTGCCCACCAGGGTCGCCCCCTCCTTTGCCACCCTCCCCGCCAGTCTTCCGTTTCGCCACATGCTGGAATATGCATTTCTCTCCATACCGGCAGAACCCCTTCCGAGTAAACTGGTAGCACGTCCCTTGCTTCTTGGTCGCACTGCCCGCCCCCGCGGCACCCGCCGCGGCGGCCGATGACCGGCCGGACTTGCCCTGTACCATGGAATTGATCAGCCCCCCCGACCGGAGATATGCCGTGAACTTGGGGAATTCTGGGATGGGGGCGACCGGAAGAGCCTCAGACGGCGGAGGTAGAACGTGGCGCCGCTGCATTTCGTCCGAAAACAGCTGCACGTCGCGTACGTACGATTCCATATCCTTACCGAGGAACTTCAAGATGATGTCTCGGTTGTGTTGCTCTTGTATGGCGGCGTAATTCTCCCGAGCGTGACGCTCCACCGCGCCGATGACCATCTTGAACGCATGGTCTATACTATCCGACAACACTAGCTCCCGGAACAGAATGTCCTAAACCAGCAGCTGGCAGTGTTGTCCAATCGTATGTCTAGCAGTCCCTGTGCTCCCAGCACTGCTGATGCTTCAACGTGATCGGGCGCAAACGGAATGTCCTGCGAGCAGCTGCCTTATCTCGGCGCGCATGCCTCCTCTCCTGCAAGCGCGCAGACATACTCCTTGCCATATAATATAAATGCCCACTTCTTCTATCAACTCCAATAAGCACCAATTTCAGACTCCTCCCCCCTTTGGTAGGATCCATCTGAAATACTCGCTTTTTTTTTTGTGTGTCCATTTCGTTTGTCGGTTTTGCTGTCGTCGTCTTTGAACAAAGCAAAGTCGCACGGCGAGTCTTGTAATAAAGTATGACTGTCTGAAGATATCAGTGTACATCTGGACTGACTGCTGTGGGTGTTTTGAGTCCAAGGTTTGTTTCGCTGGCCCCGTGTCGGCATACAACCAAAATATGAAACACTGTGAAATTGTTGCTACTTTTGGACTCTTGTCTGTGGATAGCAATGAAATGTTGTGGGTTTTGTAAGAAAACTATATGAACAAAATATATCACGGAAATAACTAAATCAGCGATAACATGGTCTTCTTCGACTCACTTCTTTTCGTTAACGGGTGCACCCCGTCCTCCACGTCTCACCCACTACTAATCATGTTCGAACAGCTCTATCGTCCCTATGCCATTGGTAAGTGGGAGGCGGGATCGAACCGAATCCGCGGGTGTTTGCCATCAAAAGTCAGACATGTCGTATCTCTTCGTCGACACGCCAATATAATACATTGGTAGAAGAGAACCGTCCTTCATACACTTTGGGGAGACCTGACGCTGTTTTATTCACTTGAATAAGGGCATCCCCATCATTAATTGTCGTTTCCATCAATATTTTCCGTCTACTTATATGCATAGATGTTCGTGATCGTCGGCAGCTTGTATGCCTCCCGTCATTCCGCGACGGCACAAGCTATCACATCTAACAGTCACGACCGTAATTCATCCACAGCACACGATTGTTGCCAAACCCTCGATCGCGAAAGAACACACTGCTATTGTAGCACCACCACGTGGTTGTTGTTCAAGCACACGCAGGCTCTTCTTCTCGCGGAGGATGGACGTTCAGAGTGGGGTGGGAGCAGCTGCTCTTTCCCTCGAGACACTCTCACCATGTTTCATCTCTTGTTTACCCTTCCTTCTAGAACACGCCCGCTCGGACGGAGCTAAAACCCTCACCCCCCTACAAGCACTTCCAACACCGACGACGACTGCATCTCTCAACAAGTCGCCCCCCTACCCTCGGACAACGTCATGACCTATCCCCCCCAATGTCCAAACAACGTTGCCCCGAAAACTCAGTATCACTCTTCGTCCCAGGGGGTTGGTTAAGATCAAGGCAGCAGGTCCGAATAGCGGGCATACTCCCACAAAACGTTGCACGCGAACAGGGTGGGGTGGGTGTCGTTCCGAATTGCACACCGCACGAAAAGGGCACCAAGAGGGAGAGAACCGTGAGCAAGGAATTGAAGGACACACGAAACAACAAGTGTTTCCTGGCACAAGCAAGGTAAGAGAATGAATGAATGCCAGCGAAGCACATGACACGGGGGAGGAATCCGCCCACAAACAGTGCTGAGTTTGGTCTCGTAGCAGCCAGTGCTCAAGAATTGACACAAACGAATGCGATCTACGAAAATTCAAAAATACAAAGCATAAAACTCATGCAGACAAAAAACCGGCCCCGTTCATAAACACCCTCTTCAAAAAATAGGTTGTGTAAGACGTAAGTATCTTAAATTGTGTAAGAAATCGTCGAGTTCAGCCGCCTGCACTGCACTAAATCTTATCGGTGGCTAGTTGAAGCAGGCAAGCCTGTTGAATGATGGTAAGGCTTGGAGTCTTGCTCAAGGTAGGTTTTTCTTACGAGAGGGCTGACACGTTACATACGACACACATCCATCCCAAAAAATAATCGTTGCATGTGCCTGCATAATAATATTATACTGCTACCATACCACATCTATCTCTCGCACCACGCTCGCGAGATGAGAACAAAAGAAAGAGTGCTCTAGAAGAGACACGAACAATGCAAATATCAATGGCCATGAAAATGGTCATGATGCCGATGATGATACCGTCGGAACGGCACCACCACCCACTCACTCACACCCACCGCCCACCAGACAAAGAAACAGAACACCCCAACCTTCTCGCCCAGTAGGCGAAATAACACAATGACAAAAAACGAGTAAAGTTTGTTCCCGGCACGGCCACAGCAGCAGCATGATTCAATGCAACATGCGCCACACGTCAACCACCAACACTCCAACAGCAACAGCGTAAATACAAACAGCATCATACACACCATCACCTCGTCGGCTTTGAGAGGGCGGTCGCTGAAGGGAACAGGTGGCCCAATGGGACACATTGGACGGTGTATCCACGCCGAGCACAAACACCATGCATCACAACGACAACGAAAAACCCTACGGCAAAACAGCATTTGATTGGCCTAAAACGAAGAACGAAAAACGCACTCGGACGGGACCGTGATGCACTACAGGTAGCACAAATGTTCGCCTGCCGGGATATTACATGTTCGGAAGAACTCTATCGTGCGGAATATGCCGTGCATACTATAATAGTAAGGGATCACATTCTTTTAACGCCCCCCCCCCCCCCCCAGAAAATAAATTAAAGTCATACGTAGCTGTCATCCGTACGCAAGGAAGTAAGCACAAGATGCCGAACACCCTTAGCAGGATGCAGCTCACCCTTCATGCGACTCGCCAAATACCTCACGGCGCTTCGCGCTTGGTGATGTGAGAGCCTGGTCCGGTGCGAACCCGGCGTGCTCCGTCCCGGCTTTGTAGGGATGCGAGGTCAATGGTCAAACGACTACGGCATGCACGACTATGAGTACACCCCCCCCCCCCCCCCCCCAAGATTGGCCATCGGTGATCGGTCCTGTGGGACAAATGCCCCGTCCTCTCGAGGACGCGTGGTCAATGGTCTAACCGCTAAGGCATGCAAAACAAAAGAGTACGCCAGAGTACGCCTTCCCCCCCCGCCGCTTCGAAGTGTATGCTTCTGTTGTTGTCCCTATCCCCCTCCCCTGCCCCTCAAACTCAAATCTTCCCTCCACTACTCCCGAAAAAACGTCTGGGTGAATGATCAAGGGGTTTTCGGGTGATGGAATGATTTCACGACACGTACACGCCCTAGCGGAACCCAACCTTGACTGAAGTAATAATACCTACCCCGGGGTTGTAGAACAGCTTGAGGCGCTGTATGCCCAAACCACACACCGACAAAAAGAACAAAAATATAGCAACAACATCGGCACCAGGAGCCCGGTGGGGAATTGACAAGGTTTGATCAAACGTCCATCACGGCGGGGGCTTGGTAGACTGAGACCTTCACCGTGACTACTACCCTTGGAACATGGCGCCAGGATTCCAGAGCCGGCCACCACGTCTTTGTTGTTGAGTGGTTTTGCGTGCAAAGACAATGAATGATCATCACGCGACAGCAACGGCGACAGCACTAACTTGTTTTCAATTACAGCAAACTTGCGCACCCACTCACGACCGGCGCACCAGCTCGACAGGTCTGACCCCACAACGTGTAGTGAGCCAATTCCCCGGCCACGGCCACCCAGACGCTCGAGTGAAGCAAACGCTAAAGCCACTAGATATCGTCATCCCCCCCCCCCCCCCCCCCCTTACACATTTCTCACACTCCCACGGAGCAGATACCATTCTCCTCCTCCCCTCCAGCGGTCGGGTGTATTATATCGTAGAGACCGTTGATGCCCATGAGGAACGCGCTCAGGGCCACCACCGACGCAATGGACAGGATGATGAAGCTCGGACGCTTGAACTGTTTGTTTTCCCGTTTTTTTCCCGGTGTTTTTCGCGCCGGTTTTTCGTGTTGTTGTGTTTCGGTTTTTCGAAAACCGATCGTCGAGATGTACCCGGACCAAAGTTGGTGGAGCAATTTGCGGAGGGAGGGGACGGTTGTGATGGTTTTAGGAACATTTTGGACGGAGAATGATATGCCCGCTCGCCAATATAATGCCTCTACAGGCAGCTATGTTCCGACCGGTGGCTCAGTTCAAAGCCTATTTCCGGAGCAAGAGAGTCCGAGAGGTTGCTACGGTGTACATTTACCCCCCTCCCCTTCCTGTCTCGAAAGGTGGGTGTTCCGGCATTCCTTGAAGCTGATTGGCTTACTTCCGTACCATTAAGTGAGCATCTTGTTGTTTCGTTGCGGCCGGTGTCACTCGAGTCCTGTATAAAGAAGGGCTCCTTAAGGCTCGTCTCAGTTGATTGATGGTCCTATTATTGCCACGCTCATTGGCTTTTCTCTGTCGAAGTTTGCGCCCACGGCACGGAACCACTTCCCGCGACGAGTCTGGCTCTACAGGCCAACGCCGCTTGAAAACGAACAAAATACGGGGGAGCTCCCGCACAGTTGGGACACGAGAGAAGGAAGCTTATCTTGCGTTCAACTCTCCAGCTTCACGTGGTGCCCAGCTTTTCGTCGGCCCTCCGCCTTTGCTCTAAACCGCCGCTACTCGCTTCCGCTGTGCGATCATACAGCACCTAACCCTGTGACAGCAGCAGCAAGAACACTCACTGAAAAGGCTCCAACACATCCCGTTTCGACTGTGGGTATTTCTCGAACGGGTAGTCTTTCTGTGTGTGTATTTGTTTTTCCTGAGAACAAGAGCAAATTAACCATCTCTCACATGCCAACCACCAACACTGGGAGCTAGCCCCTCACAGCGGAACGGTAGGCAAGCAGTGCGCACTACCGTCACTGCTGTAGTTTGCGATTTTACATTAGACACGACAACTGCCACGTCATCGGAGCAGCGGCAGCGGATGGGGGTTATCGGCATCACAGCGGCCATCGTCTCTCGCGACACAAACTCCACGGCCTTATCCGCCCAACGAAGAACCAGTCGTGGTCTCCGAGCTCCCAGGCCGCGGGGTCATACCCTACTATTCTCATGTTTTCCCCAAGTCTTACAACCCGCCAGGGAGATGGAGAAAGGTGCGATGACGAACTCGATCGGGTGCATCGAGTACCACGCCATACCTATTCGTTCGGTGCATGCAACAACGCGTTCTACTCCAGAGCAGCCCCCTTCGGTCCTTGTTCGCCGCAAGGGCCGATTCTGGGTGGTGGCTTGTTCCTTACCGTTAGCAAGCCGAACACGACGAAGCTAGTGGTTGCGGTGAAGCTGGTGAAGAGGATCATAACCGCGGAGGTGGATGATGAGACCATTGGGTGCACCCCTGGAAATATACGAGTTTGCGTATCACACGTATGCGCGCAGGTTTTGGGAGAGCGGGGCGGCGGGGAGAGAGAAACAGATACAGACCGGCAGGCCGGCAGACAGAGAAAAGGCAAGGGAAAGACGAACAAACACGGAAATGGAGAGGCACGCACACACACAGGGCAAAGCGAGCGGGGGTCATTGTTGCGTAAGGAGCGAAACGGGCCTGTCGACGTTCTAACGTCTCGACGCTTTCAATCGCGCGCAACAATGATTACCTGTGCGGCGTCGTCGGTATCGCATTTAATTGGTCAAGACTGCAAGACTGCAATGTAGGAGAAAACATGCTGCTTTAGGAGCAGGTGGACCTACCTTCAGAGAGGCAGCACACACACACATACTTCCTCCAAAATTTCCGTGAAACAATGGACGCGAGTCTCCTTATTGCCCCCCGCCGTCACAACAACCATCACCAAGAACACAGGGAGGGATCTTCCACCGTGGTTGACGGTTCGTCCATAATCGCCGACTTTTTTTGTCGTCCTACTTTTAAATGCTGCGACAACACTACAAAAAGAGAAACTACTATGCCGCCGCCACGGCTCTCCCGCGGCCCGAGTACCGGTGGTGCTACGCCGAGCAGGTGGACCAGGCCGCTCCCCTGCCCGACAGGAGCAACGGCTGGCGCTACCTGGGCCCTCGGGAGGGAGAGACCTACAGGCGCCAGGCGGTCTTCGGGGCCGGGTTCCGCCTCCGCCTGCCGTTCCCCCGCCTCTGCCCGGGGCCGGGGCACCGCTGGTTCAACTCGCACCCGCTCGGCGGGGATCCCGACCTCCCGGACTTCCAGGCCTGGGCGAGGACGATGCTGCGCAGGCGCCTGGTGCACAGAGACGACGCCGACGCCTGGCGGGCGGCCTTCGTCGACGTAGAGGGCGGCGGACACGGACAGCTCGTCGTCTCCGCCGCCGACGAGACCTGGCGAGTGATACTCTGCTGGGGATCACGGGGCCGAAGGATCGATGTGAACCAGCACGGCATCCCTACATCTCTCGTGGACCTGCAGGTTCGCGCCGGCGTCATATCGGAGGATCCGCGCTTCAGACAGCTCAATATCGCATCCTTCGGCCACCGACTCGTGAGGTACGATCCCCTTACCGAGTTTGGGGTTATTTGGAAGGAGCGCCTCCCGGGTGCCTGCCTGGCGGTCCTGGTCGCAGATTCGTGGCGAGACTGTCAGGTCGGTCTACTCGCACGCGATCGACGGAGATTTGGGTTCCGTGACGTAGACCCGCTGACGGGCGCCTTCATGGATTCTCGTGCCGGCGGACGGTCGAAGAAGGGTGTCAAGCGTGCACCGCCGAACGCCCTGGATGGGGGAAACTATTTCCGCAACCTCTACTCGATAATGCTCGAGAGGGACGTTGGTTCAACAGAGTTCTCGGCGTGGCTTTCGGGCGAGGAATGTGTACCGGCCGTTACTGTCCGCCATCTCGATAAGTGGCTCAAGACCACCAAGGCGTCAGTCGTCGTGTGGTCGCACAGGGGCTCCGGGGCCGAGGTTGTCGGTGCCAAGGGCCAGACGACGAGCCTCCGTCCTCGAGCGCTACATGTCGGCGTTCGCGAGGGCCACGTGTACCGCTTGGTGCTCGATGGCCCTTGGAAGGATCGCTTCACCGGCGCTCGCGAGGGGGCGGTCGGTCCATCTCTGCATGTGGCGGTCGAGCACTGCGTGCGCACGAGGCGTCTCTTTCGCCGTATTGCCGAGGCGGCCGAGGAGGGGGAGGGAGAGGAGAAATCGGATGGTGACACCAGAGCCTTTGGTCGTTGCGCAGACATGACGGAGGCAATCCTTACCTCGAGCCAGACGGATACGGACCAGCAGACCGCTCGTAAGCGGCGGAGAGGAACCGACGACAAGGCAGACAGCAAAAAGACCTGGTACGCACCTCCCGGTACGGCTTTGGACGAGCTCATGCTCCATCTCCACCTCGGTGGCGTGGCTTGTGCGGGCAGGCTCACCAGCTACAGCCACTGGGATTCGTTGTCTTTGCCGGCGCACGGTATCATCATTCGAACCTGGTGCGGCGCGAGCATGGGCGGACTGGATCCGGATTCACTCGAATGCGACGAAGCTACTCGTCTGATCGAGCTGCACGGCACGCTGGGGCGCAAGCTCATTCGTGGTGTGATGGATTTTCGGGTCTCGAGTGAGTACAGCCCGTCTCTTCTCGCGCTACTCGAGGTGTGTTGGAGGGGACCTATCGTGGGGGCAGAAGACGCATCGGGCACAACCTACGGACCAGGAGATTGGCAGTGCGACATCAACGGCGCGCACACGGCGGCAATGCTGAGCATGGAGAATCTTCCGGCGTTCACCCACATGGACGAGGTGCAGGTATTCGACGGCCACGACATCGAGGATTGGACGTTGTACGTCGTCCGCCTGGAAGCGGTTGGCGATCCCGACGTGTTCCTGAATGCGGACGTAACGCCAGTCTTTGGTCGGAACTACAAGCGCTATTTGGCGCTAATTAAAACCCCCGCCCCACACCGGGTAAGCCACTTTGTGCGACCTGCGAGGACGATCCAAAAGTGCCACATACCCAGGCTCGTGCAGGACCTGCTGGCCCGGGATCTAGGGGAGCCCCTCCTCCAAGACCCGGACGCTGCTCGCAGGTTCAAGAAGGGTCTATTCGTTCGCACGAGCGGCTTGTTACAGCAGAGGCACGCCGACAGGATCAACGCCGTAATGGTCACTACAAGCAAGGAGGCCATGGCCGTGGGGGGTAAGATCGTACCCGTCCTCGGCGAAGTTAATCGCATCAAGTCGGAGCTGCGGAAGAATGGTACCGATGGGGGGCTTGGCATCGAGAAACTCGACAGCGGAGATGCCTACCTTTGTTTCGAGGCTAGCCGGGTTTGGTACCGAGACGGGTTCTGGGCGCTGGGGACGCTCATCCTAGACGAAACGCGCCTGCGTGTGTTGGAGGTGCGGAACATGCTCGAGGCGTGTGGGGGTTCTGCCTTTAGCTACCAGTGCGACGCCGTGTTCTTCAGAGGACCTCCAGAGGTCCAAGAGGAAGCAAGGCACCTCTACGAGCATTGTTTCAGCGGCGAACTCAAAGCGCCCGGCACTCTCAAGTTCGAACCAGCCCTCAAAAATGCAGCGTCTCCCGATCGCGTCTTCGCTGGCATCGAGGTGAAGTTGGCCCTCGACATTCTACCCCCAGCCATGAGGACCATTCCCTGCCCGCGGGAGAGAGCGCTGCGTGTCGTCCCACTATGGGGCGGCATCGGGGAGACCTTCGGTACCATGGAAGCCGCGCATGCAGCCTGGCGATCTGTCGGCAAGGACGACAAAAGGAAGATATGGCCGGACATCTGCGCGGCGGAGTCGCCAGCAACTCTTGAGCGACTACTCCGCGAGCTGGTGTCGCAGGAGGACAGGGTCGTTTGTGCGGTCACGGGGGAACACGGTGGAGCAGGGAAAAGCTACTGCGCGCTCCGTGCTGCGAAAGCCGTCTTCAAGACCGGTCTTGTGCTGACACCCACCAACAGCCTTCGCACGTCGTACACCGACCTGCCCTCCGGGTGGAGCGTGAAGACTGCCGACCATCAGCTTGGGTTTTTCATCGGCGACGACGCGCGCGTCAGGAAGACCGCGGGCTCGATACATATCCCGAGGGTGGACGTTGTAATAATCGAGGAAGCCGCGTACATGTCTCTCCATGCGCTCAGCATGATCTTCGCCGCCACTCACAGCAGCGGTGTCCACGTCATCGGAACGTATGACACGCACCAGCTGCAGCCCGTTCGTGAGAGCAGTGGCATGTCTATCAGCGTTGACAACGTCGACAGGCAACTCGTTCTCGAGCGAGCATTTCCCACCTGCTTTCACCTGTTCGCACGCAAGCGGGACAGGACGATCGACGAACAGGTCGAGATGGACGATAGTTTGTTGTACATCTTGGACGCGGGAGACAACAGCGCCGAAGCGCAGACCCGAGCCCTGGAAAGGTTTGGCGGGATCGAACCCACAGGGCCCGGCACACACGTTTCCGATTTCCACCTCGCTTATACCAGGGAATGTGCGAGGTTCCATGCCTTCCGGGGTTTGACGAGGTGCAACGAGGCTGGGGGGTGGGACGCGCTGGGTCAAAGCGCGGTGGTGGGTGCCCAGTATCGAGACCTCGGGAAGACAGGAAAGGTGCACAAGAACCACGCCTACCACATCGTTCGTTCGTCGGCCGACTCGGTCGTCGTGCAAAGTGCCTTCGACGACGGCGCCACCCTCGAAGAGACCACTCTCAGTCGTGCCGCGGCAGAGATCCTGTTTGATCCCCCGGGTTCGTGTACGGTGCACGCGGTTCAGGGTCGCACAGTGGAAGGGAAATTGGTGATCCACCAGGCTCGACACCGGTATTCAGACGTTTACTGGCTTTACACAGCCATCAGCCGAGCGACGGGGCCCTCAAACGCCGTAGTCCTCGATGACGTCCATCGGAGTGTCAGCGACATGCCTGAACACACCAGGAGGTCGTGGGCGACCACAAAGGTCTCGAGCTACCTGCGCGCCGATGTGGCCGCCGGGCGGCTAGATGACGGGGACGGGGGGCATCACAAGGACGCCCTTATCGAAGAACTCTTGCGCTCCTACCGTGGGACATGCAACTCATGCTCGCTTGAGGTCGTCTGGGCAGTGTACAGCGAGCGTCAGCCCACGCTTGATCGTCTCGACTACGCCCTACCCCACACGCCGGGCAACGTTGACGTAAAGTGTTTGAGGTGCAACCGTGCCCGAGGTGGTTTGGGAAGGGGGCTTACAAAGAAGAAGAAGGAAGCAGAAACAAAGTGTCAGAGAAGTAGCCGTTGTTGTCGAAATGGTGGTTTATTTTGTATGGCATGAAGTAGGCAGAGCAAGTGTATTTTCCCAAGATGGACCAAACTATTGTGACGTGTTCGAGATGGCTGGAAGAAAACGAGGATCCAGACGAAGTCGTTGAAGCATTGAGAAAATTACACCCGAGATCTCTGAATAAGAATGTGAGAAAGGTCAGGCTACAGTGGATGGACACATATGGCGCAAACCACAATGCCGGTCCCGTCAGGAACGAGCTCCGGTCGTTGCAAAGGCTCATCAAGAGGGAGGCAATGGTGGCGAAGAAGACTAAGGGACAACGGAATCACCTCAAGCAGCTCAAAACGGCCGAGGAGCGCGTGTTGATGTTTGCCAAGCTAGACCTTCGCGCCAAATGGTCGGCACGACGCAAGGTATACTCTCGGAAGGACTCCTTTACCGGGCTGGCCGAAGTCGACGAACATCTCCGTAAATTGCAACTGCTTCCACATTTTGTTTCTCGGCTCGAGCTTACGCCGGAAGAAAAGAGCCTCCCACGAAAAAAACGTAGGGAAGCTCTGGACGCCAAATGTGAGCGCGGGGTTGTGGTAAACGCAACCGAGTTAATCGATTTGATGTCATCGATCGTCAAATACCCGCGTGCAAACTACTTCGAACTTGTGTGTGCATTGTCTTTCATGTCCGGTCGTGGTTTACCGGAAATCCTTGGGGCGGCCGAATTCTCGCCGCGCGAGGGGAACCCTCATGTAGCTGTCGTCTCTACTGGCGCGGTTGAGACTGTAGTTCCTATTCTGTGTGAGTTCGAAGAATTTTTCGAAGGTTTAGAGAGGATCCGAGGCATCAAAGACACAGCTCATCTAACTGCCGCGGAGATTAACCAACGATTCAGCAAATCGGCCAATGTTTGGGTCAGGAAAATGTTACCAGTGAATGGAGACGATCGGCACACGTTCAGTGACTTGAAAGTCATGCACGCTGTAATTTCCTTCAAAGTGTTCGAAGGACACGGCCTTGGTTTCGGGGAATGGGTGAGGGTGGCATGCGGGCAGAGTTCGCCGGCGCTCCAAAAGAAGAGTGCTACGGTGGTCGTTGAGGGGGTCGATGGCCGGCTCCACAGAGCGTGGGTTGTTGCTTGAGTGAAAACTTAAGTTGCATCGACAATCTATGTAGGTAACACACATCCCTAGTTGGCTCCAGCCTTCTCGGGTCTGAGTTCCTCGGGCAGAACCACACGCGCAAACCCGTTCTCTCCCTGGGTCTAGAGACTCGATCAACGGAATATCGCATATGGAATGATTCAACGCCACACAACCAGGCACACGTCTATCCACCCCCTTCCCTGAGGCGGGATGGAAACATGTACGCTGTCTGTCTGACACACCGCCGACAATCTCGCCGGTCGCACTGCCAACCGCTTCCAGTCAAGAGAAGTTTGTCAGTGAAGTACCACCCGAGACATTTTTCTCCCCTGAGTGAGGCAAAGCCCATTGATGTGAGCGACGACGAACTCGCACATGTCCTGACATCAAATCCACCCAAGCCTGCAAACTCCATCCAACACCACTCGGCTACCAAGAAAACACAATCTCTTCTCTCACACGTATATACCCCAAACCTAACCTACGTCGAGGCGGCACACCGGGCGTATGTCTGGAGGTCCCCCTCGAACAACCGGTTGCTCTCGCCGAGGCCCATGAACCCCGAGAGGTCCTTGCCAGAGGCGTCGGAGGGGTATGAGAGGTTCCTCTCTTTGCCGTTCGTGTCGAACTGTTTAAGTCCGAAGATGTCCTTGCCTCCGTTGATCCCTCTGACGTCCTTGTACGCGAACCACTTCGATTCCGATCTACGCCTGGCCGACGTACGGACAGTCCCATCTTCCTTCACGTAAGACCGGTGACGGGACGAAACGATCAGGGTACGATACGCGTTGATGTCGACGTACGTCTTGGCCGCTGCACCCGGGCCGCGTGACCCACCGCTGGAATGCATCTTCTTGCCCTGCATCTTTTTTCCTGTTGGGCGGCATGCATCGGCAGAAACGACAACAGCAACAGCAACGGCGGAAGGGGGCACGGAAGGAGAGAGGGGGGGGGGGGGAGTGATATCATCAGAAAGTCCAATTTTTGTCGTGTGCATGACCTTGGTCCTACTTGACAACCCCCGCGAGCGATCTCTGCCCATCTTTCAACCTCGGGGCGGAGGGGGGAGGGGCCTTTGGGCGGAGTGGCGATCTCGCAAAGGTTGGCGCCGACACAAGGCAATGCTATCCAAAAAGGGGCCATCCGAGATCGATTTTAAACAACAGAGGCAGAAGCGAGCGACGAAAGCCGTAACCCCAACATCGGAGGCAGCCAGCGACCGGCATCGGCAGAAACGACGACAGCAACAGCAACAGCAGCAGCAGCAGCATGCGACAACAACAACAACGGACAACGAGAGCAACAGCAATGACGGGCAAGGTCACACAGCCTCACCGGCTGCCGCCTTGCCCTTCTGCGTCCCCTTGGACGTGCCACCCCCTGGCAGGGCCGCGCCCTCGGCGTAGTCGGCCTTGCCTGCTTGCAGGGGACGCGGGCGATATATGACGTCGGCGGGGACGGAGATCGAATAGGGCGGCGATAACAACACCGTTAAAATGCCGGTGCTTTGAGTTGTACCGGGGGCACCTACCGGCACATCAACTTTTAACACCCCGCGAGCGATCTCTGCCCATCTTTCAACCTCGGGGCGGAGGGGGGAGGGGCAGGCGGGCCGGATGGCGACGGAAGGCAAACGATCGGCGCCGACACAAAGCAATGCTATCGCGGTGGCCATGCAAGGTCGAAGGCACGAAACGAATGGCAAAAGAAGTACAAGAAAAAACGTCGTCACAGCCGACAAGAAAAAAACAACCACGAACAACAACGGAGGCCACAACAACAACCGACGTTCTCTGTCACCCTTCAAAGACGCTCCCCCGCTCGTGATCTTGACGGCTCCGGAGGTGTCTCGAGAAACCAGCTTCCCGTCTCTCACCCAAGCGGTGTCCGCTGCGAAAGACCAGGCCATAACATGTTGGTGCGGGGGCGAGCGAGCGAGCGAGCGAGGGACGCGGCAGGGGTGTCACCCCGGCGAAGCAAGATGATCATCGACTGCGGTTGCACGTTCGACAGACAGAGGCGCCTTGTTTCTGTCGGTGCAAACAGGCCCCAGCTCGGCACCATTGGGTCAAGGAGCAGGCCCGCCGGCACATCTACCTAACGTTTCGAGCTCTCGCTGCCATCGGAAACGACGAGGCCTTGGTCCTACTTGACAACCCCCGCGAGCGATCTCTGCCCATCTTTCAACCTCGGGGCGGAGGGGGGAGGGGCAGGTGGGCCGGATGGCGATCTCGCAAAGGTTGGCGCCGACACGATGCACTCCTATCCAAAGGGGCCACCCGAGATCGATCTTACACAACAACACTTAAAACAGCTCACCCCCGCTGGCGCTGTCTGCAGACCGCCGGCGCATCGCCGCTTCCTCGGCGGGCGTCGCCGCCTCCCTGCCCTGCCACACACCCTCACGGACTGTGACCTTTTGCCCATTGACGGTGGCCGTCCTCGCTATAAAAAAACGTGGTGCATTCAAGCACGGTGACGGAATGTTTGTTTGTGAAGGAATGGGGCAAGGGGGGAGAGGGGGGGAATTGATATCAGGGAGTCCAATCTCTCGTGTACATGACCTTGGTCCTACTTGACAACCCCCGCGAGCGATCTCTGCCCATCTTTCAACCTCGGGGCGGAGGGGGGAGGGGCAGGTGGGCCGGATGGCGATCTCGCAAAGGTTGGCGCCGACACGATGCACTCCTATCCAAAGGGGCCATGCAAGATCGATTGTCGGCGATTACAAGACGTAAGCAGCAGCGAGCGACGAAAGCCGCAACTTACCCCCTGCCGCGCAGTCGTCCTGGAACTTCTTCGGGTCCTGCTTCCGCTTCTTCATCGAAGCCTCCCCTAAAACAACACGTCGGTCAAGATGCGAGAGGGACAGCCGAGTGGGGGTGGACGGGCAGGCACGCGGGTGGAGGGATCGCCGTAGACGAGGCAAACGAGGGGGTCTGCCGATAACACTGCAAGCAGGCTCCACCTCGGCATATTGGGACGATGAATAGCACCGATACATCTACCCAACATTCGCGAGCTCTCGCTGTCGGTACTTTTAACGTTGAGTACGACAGGAACAGCCGCGGCAACAGCGAAATGACAACGACAAAAACAGCCCTCACCGCCTTCGGCCTTCAGCTCGACCGTTGACTTTTCCGCGCCCCGCTCCTCCGCGGTGTACTTTGCCGCACCTGTAGGGAGAAGGTGACGGAATATGCACGGGGATGGGAGGTGGGGTGGGGATGGGAGGTGGGGTCGAGGGTGACAAGGGGGCAAGAGGGGAGAGAGGGGGGAGGGGAAGGAGTGATACCAGAGAGTCCAATCTCTCGTGTATGAAGCCTTGGTCCTACTAGACAACCCCCGCGAGCTTTCGTTGCCAGCTGTTAAAGTCGGGCCAGAGGGGGCCGGGGCTTTTGGGCGGAGTGGCGACGTGGAGCAACACGAAGCGATTCTATAGCAGTGGTCATCCGGGATCTTTTGTCGTCGATGATATCAAGCTCACCGAAGAGCAGCACCAACACAGAAAAAAACGAAAACAAGAAGCAACACCAAGGAGGTGTAACGTCAACAAAATAATACCATTATCTTTAGAGACAGACGGCGGCGTGTGTTCAATACGGAAGAGGAACAAGCAACAACAGCAAGAGGAAAGTTTACTTTGTTCCTCACCACCGTCAGATCTCTGCTGCGTCGTGAACAAAGCGGGGCCCAGCCGTGTGCGAATTGCGTTGAACGCTTCCTCGAAAACCTCGTCGTTCTCCTCCACGCCCGCTCGGAGAGCCTCCTTCTCGCCGTCGAACGCCGCGGCCCCCTTTTGGGGCGCGACGAAGTCCTGGGCGCCAACCAGCGCATCTACGGCTTCAGCCACCGCAGACCTTCGGCGCTCCCCCCCCAGGTCTTCTAGTGTCCGGCAACCCTCGCGGTCACGGGCGGCGTGGTGAAGGAGGCAGAGCCCCGCGAAGTTGCTCGTTGCGGCGGGCAGGCCACCCGGGATGGTGCAGATGTGGTGCGAGGCGAACATCCCGACCTTGTCGTCCCTGCCAGACCACACGACGCCGTGCCGTGCGGCGCCTTGGTCGCACACCTCGCCAAAGCTGAGAACCATCAGAGCGTGGACGTTCGGGAAGCGATTGATGAGCAACGTGCAGGTGAGGTCCAGAAAAGTCCGGCTGAGCTCCCTCACACGCGGCGGCATGGTCTTGCTGTCGAAGCAGTTGCCCCCGCGGTCATGGACACTGCGAGAGCAGCTGTTGTTCTTGTTGAGGGCGGCGATAGCACCACCCGCGTCGCCGCCGAAGGGAGACGCTTTCACAGCAGCGCGCCACAGCTTGCCGGTCAGTAGGGGGCAGTCCGGGTCGTAAAAAGGTGACTCGGCGTACTTGGGGCACGCCCCCCATCCGACAAGGAGCGGCTCCGTCCGTCCGGCGTTGTTGGCGAACGCCGGGTGGGTGGTGTCAATGTGGATCGACACGTCGATCTCGCCGCATACCCCCAAGAACGCGACAACGTCTCCAGCTTTCGCCGCGACCCGGAGACGCCGGAGTCCCTCCTCGGCCCTTCTTCGCTCCGTCGATTCGGGCCCGTCCAGGACGGCCGCCATGTCACCCACGGGGCCGCGTGTCTGGCTGGCGGCGGCGAGGATATTCCTGATGGTGGCCGGCCCGAGATCAGAACCCGACGTCGCACCCCCTCTGTAGATCCGGCAGCCATTGGATGCGTGTTTCGCCGACAGGAGGCCGGCGCCGCCGTCCTTCAGGAGAGCGCGGCACAGCCCAAGTTGTTGGGGCGACGCCTCGGTGCTGAGGCGCAGGAACTTCTGCACCTCCTCCGGCGTACCGGCCAGCTCCTGTAGGGCTCCGGCTATGGGCTGGACCCGGCGGAGGTGGAGAGAGGGATACAAGGATGGTGGTTAGCAATGTCGTCCGGGAGCGAAACGTCGGTGTTTGTGGGGGGTGGGGTTGGGGATCGAAGGCGCGCGAGGTGATCCTCGGGAGATGCACACGCGTTACGGTAGGCACCAACGGATTTCATGGACCTGTTGTCCTCTTACGTTCTGCCCTCTCGCTACACACCACATATTCAGCCACGCGGCGGGCCTCGCAACATTAGTCAGCACGAGCGCACAACGACGTTTCGATAGTGGCGTCCACACCGCCTCGGCGGGAACAGAAATTCTACCTACGAGGCAGGCAGGCCATCGGCGAAAATCGACTGTGTGCACCCACTATCTCAAGGCCAAACCAAGACGAAGCTGGGACAGCTGGGAGCGACGCAACGTGTCTAGGACGCTGTAGGGCACGGGGGGCAAAGTAGACTTGCAGGCCTCACTAACCTCGACCGCCCGCTGACGCTTCTTGTTCTGCGGCACGGGCTGCACGGGCTGGTTTGGGGGTCCCAACGCATCGTTGCTGCTGGGTACCTGTAGACATGTCATGGGTGTGGCGGACAAGTACATGAGATCAGCTGCTTCTCTACTGCCGGGGGCGGGGGAGGGGGGTATGGGCATTTTTGGCGGGAAATTTAAGCGGATTCGCGCCTCGGCAAACTCGAGAAGATTTCCGCAACAGGCATAGGAACAGCGGATGAACGAATAGACACGGGTCGCCTCCTAACTTGTCACCAGAAAGGAGACACCCGGAAAACAATCGTCTTGACGTGGTTGTGGTCGTGTGTAAACAAATTAAAATTACCTTGCCCTTGTGACGTCGAAGATCATCGGCCTCGTAGCTGCTGCTGCCGCTGCCACCGCTGCTGCCGCCGCCGCTGCTGCTCCTACTCCTGCTCCTGCTCCTGCTGCGGCTGCTGCTCCTGCTCCTGCTGCCGCCGCTGCCGCTGCCGCTGCAGCTGCTGCTGCCGTCTCCGTCCGTCTCGCCGCTGCTGCTGCCGTCGTCGTCCGTCTCGCTGCTGCCATCGCCGCTAACGCCGCCGGGTGCCTGGGCAGGGTTTGACACAGAACGATTCAGAACACAACAAACCGGTCGGGGAGGACGGCAGCGACGGCACATGGGAGTAACTCGTTGTGTCCTCGCGTCTAATTCGAGTGCACGCAACCCCTGCTGTCCAAGTCGAAGGGTAACGTCACCTGGTAGGTGCTGGAGACAATGTTGGACTTGAGGACACACCAAGGGTGGCTTTATCATGAATTTTTGCTTGTTTCGTCGGGAAGACCACCCCCGGCAAACACGGAACGAGGTGCGCTTGGCTATTGGCGCGCGGGCCCACCCTAAAACTTAGTTCTCACCTGGCCTCCTGACCCCGAAGCCTGCCCTCTGGCGGCAGCGACCGCCGCGCTCCAGAACGCGGGAACATCGGTGCCGTGGGTCGCTGCGGCTCCGCCTCCGTGCTGCCTCTCGAGGACCATGATCGTCGGGTTGACCTTGCGCACGTCGCGCCACGAGACCTGACCGGGCGGGGTTGTGTTGTGTTGTGTTGTCGGAGTGTCGGAGTGTCGGAGTGGTGGCGGACGACGCTCCCTTTCTACCTTTCTCTGTTCTACACGCACAGACCAAAATGCATAACTTGCCCACCACCCCCACACACAGTTGTTTCGCAGTAGCACGACGAGCCGCGGTTTCGGGGGTCGGCGCCGCTGCAGGATCAACTCTATAAAAGCTTCGGTTTTGTCCCCACCTCGGTGGTGTCCGCATCGTCAGCGCACACCCACGTGTCGTTTCGCCCCGCCACGAACGCCTTGTAGTGGCCCGCGTTGAGACTGGGTCCGATGTGCACCCCGATCCTGATTCGAGTTCGTGACACGGCGCGTTCCGTGAGTCCACTTTTTTTCACATCGAACTATACCCCTACATAAGTACAATGTTATACAGCGGAATGCCTGCATTCGCTGCAGGGGTGGGGGGTGGGAGGTCGGTCGAACGAACCCCCGCCTCCCCCTTCCCATTTCCCGACCCCTTTTTTCTTGTGATGATATGCCACCAACTCACCCCCGGACGTCATAGCGCTGCGTTCGCGTGGTTCCGGAAGCGCTCCGCAAGAGGAGCGAAGCCACCCGATCAAACTGGACCGCTCGGCCGTCCTTGCCGCCGTGGCCCCCGGTGCCGTCTATCCACCCCGTTCGGTTGATCATCACCACCAATGTTGCAGGCGCCTGGGTGGATGTCGGGGTCGCGGAACGACGCGGCGGCGAGAGAAGGGCGATGGGTCATAAGGGTGAAACAAGGAAATACGTTCTTGGGGGCAGGGGGCATTTCGTCGTTGAGCGTTATTCTCTCTGCATTGTTGGCGTCTGGATTGCCGCTCGGGCTGTACACATGTACCGAGCTCAGCGCAGACACGCGGACGAGACCTGCACGCCCGCGCAGTAGTCATGCACATGAAGATATACAGGTGTACGAGCCACAAGCCCGCACCACGCCAAAACAGTTTCAGCCGCAGCGCGGCGCCAGCAGCGGCCATCGATCTGATATGATTTTTCGCGGTTTTTCTTCGCGTGCCACCACACATTCGAATACTCGCAACGTCGTCGATGGCTCGCAGTGGCCGGTTGTCTACGACTATGCCGACGGCCTCTCTCGTACATATGATACCTCACTGATCAACGTGACTTGCTGCGACGACGTGAGCTGCGAACATCTGGCACAGTGCGCGTCAGACATCTCCCGGGGCGCCGTCGAATCGTCGAGCAGCCCCTGAAGGGTGATCGTGGAGTCGCTGCTCTCGTCGGGGAGAGCCAGCATCAGGTGGTGCGTCTTCAGGCTCCCGTCTCCCACCGAGTGCACCAAGCCGCACGAGGAGCATTGTGCCTGCGCGTTTGAGCACCAATTTGACGACTCGTTCAACTACGGCCGTGCGGGTCCCCGCTTCCGAGCCCAGAGGTTTGCTCTGCTCGCATACGGTCGTGACTCGCGTGTGTGTGCTGCCCCGTATACACGCGCGCTGCTGGGTTGTTGGAGCCAACTCATAAATGACTACAGCAGCTAAAAGAATACGCCTGAAGAAAAACAAAGGGACTCATATTTAGAGGACACCGAAAGCACGACCCCGCTCTCTAGGTTCGACCCTCCCCCCCCCTCTCTCGCAAGGTCTGCGCGATCGGGTGCTTCTTTTAACAAACTCACGTTAGTTGACGTCGTCATGGTCGTGGCTGCCAGAGGGGGGGGCAGCGGGGTCTCCGTCGCAGTCGCCTGGGACTGAAGCAGCTCCCAGATTTTGAAGAACGCCTCGCCTAGGTCTTGCTGTTCGTTTTATGCAAACCGCGGGCACAGCGAGGGGTGCAAGGGATGGGGGTGGGGACGCGTCACTCAGACCCGATGGAGCACCGCCACCGGGCATCATGGCTTCACCTAAACATCGCGACATATTGGCGCTCGGTTCAGCGCCATCCACTTTTACATAGGCAAAGGACAGGGTCGAGGCTCAACACGACTTGCCTGCTCCCAAGCCTTGAACCCCGCCGGCTTCAGGATTCCGTTCGCCCCAACGAAACCAGCGTGGATTGAGGGCGTGCATGGCTCCGCCGAGGTCACCTGCGGACGGGATTCTTGTCGCTTAGGATAAATCTTCACCGATGGGGACACCAAGTGGACGTTACTCCACCCGCACCATCACTCCTACTATCCAGCATGAATGGAGCACGCGTGCATTAAAGTGTTTTTTTACGTCCAGCCACGGTTGCCTCGGAGAAATAAAAAAGATAGGCAGACAGTGGAGCAAACTCGTTTGCCTATTCACACAATATACTCGCATTGTGCGAAATGTAGCCGTACCTTCCCAGTGGCGTCGACCATCTGCCAGAGTGCCGAGAGCCCCTCCTTCATGGCGTCGTCCCAATCGCACCGGGACTGTCGTTGAGCAGGGCACGTGGAGGCACATGGGCAGCAGAGGGGCCGAGATCGCCGAACGAATCTGGCCAACCAGGCTCTCCTCGGCCGCGATATATACTAACCCTTTTAGCAAGAGGCTGCCCACAGGGCGACCTCGCTATTTCTCGCATCACGTCGAACCTAGCGCGTTGGGTTGAACGTTCGTGCGTTCGCTCGTGCTCGACGAGCCCTCCAGCGGTTGGAGCTACAACTTTTGTCTCTGAACAACCGGGACACGACAAACTTACCAGCTCCATCAGCATCCTGCCGAGGGTCGTGCGCGGGCTGGACGCGACCTGGATGAGGGTGTTCAGCCAACAGGTCGAACCGCCGTTCGTGAGCCCATGTCTCGCCGGCACCTATGTGGGCCCAAAACAAAGGAAAGTAGGCGAAACAGGCAAACAACGGAATAACCAATCGACGCCACGCGGAGTCAAGAAACGTTGTTTGCGCGACCAACCACATGATGGGGGTGTAAGCTGGCATGGTTGACGAGCGAGACCCATCCATGGGGACGTGCGTGTTTGTGTTCTTGAGTAACATCCACGCCACCTCTACAAAAAAATGCACACCTGAGGAGGTACCCGCAAAGGTCAAACTCGACCAAGGGGGAGCGTGTGTGTGTGTGTGTGTGTGCGTGTTGTCAGGAGAACGACACCCGGTCGAAGTACAAACACACAACAGCGGTGCGGCGGATACCATACCTTATCGAATAATGCGGTGCTCACATGTTCACCACTCGCCCCGCGGCTGGAGGAGGAGCCCTGGCTGGCCGAGGCTTCCGCTGCGCCCCCGGAGGATGCATTCTCGTTGCTTCGCGCATCCCTCCTGCTCTCCGCCAACACCCGAGCGAGCTCTTCCTGCCGCGCAGCCTGGGGGGCGCATCGAACCAACAACGGGGAAGATAGTTTGGTGCACGAGCAACAAGAGATGAAGAACGCGGCCTTTGAACGAACGGTAGACAGCCGTAGTTTGGTCTCTTGCGCAACGAGATAGTCCCCGACGGACACGGAGACTCGGCCTCGAGTACTAGCACTCATCTTGGCCGTACTAACCATCCCTTCCACAACGGCGCACGCGCAAGCGCAACATTCAAGAAAGAGACACTCGGGCTTCGCGCCGTGGTAGTATACATGGCGGCGTGTTCCCTGGTCGATTCGAACTAAATACGAGTACCTCTTCGGCGGCTCGGCCCTGGATCGGACCGGCTGGCTGCCCGACGGCCACGTGCATGTCGTCGTCGTCGTCGTCGTCTACGCCGCCCGTGTCCGGGTAGATGTAGTCGTCGTCACGCGTGTTCCCGGGGGCGGACTCGGGCGAGGCCGAGTCGTCATCTGGAGGCGGCGGGGGGGGGGGGTGAGGGAGTGGGGTTGAGGGAGCAAGGAACACAAGCATCACTACAGCGCGAGACATGGAGTGCATGATTAGGACTTCTGTCCACGGTGAGACTTCTCTGCCTCCCTTCATCTCCCTTGTGTTGTGATTGCACATAACAGTTAAGCTAGCCTTTAGCTTGCCAAAGCCCACGGGCGGCCAGCACTCATTTGCGGGGTATCTGTCGAAAATATCGACCCCTGTGCCTGTAAGCTAAACGGGAAGGTGACACGTGCCAGCATTTGGCCACACGTGCTGGAAACACTCTGACCCTCTGCGTGTCGTACCCTCGATGACCGCCAAAACTCAAAACAAACCAGACCCTCTCCTCTCTCACCGGTGCGAGTTCCCGCCGGCCCGGTGCCGTCCTGATCGTGGGCTCCCTGGTCGTCAACGGGGGGCGAAGAGCCACGACGGGTGTAGAATGCCAGAATAAAAACACACACAGAGAGAGAGAGAGAGAGAGAGAGAGAGAGAGAGACGTCGGGCGCGTACGAGATCAATGGCCAAGAGTGACTCGCACACCCACGCCCCACAAAGCGATGTGTGGTGGCGAAACCTTGCTTTGAAAGAAAAGGCGCACTTTGCCCGCCCGGCGCAAACGCTCATCGCATATGACAGGAAAGAGGGCAATTACCTGTACACTTTCGCCTCCACCGACACATACATGTGAATTGTCGGTTAAAATTGCAAACTTACATCGTGGGTTCGCGGTCGCCTCGGCGGGGGTGGCATGAATTCGACCTCGATCGAACGTCCACGCGGTCCCGATGGCAGGGACAACCTTGACCGGCGCCTCTTCAACGTGTTCGACGCCATCCCGCGTCGTCGGGGATGCGGGGGCTGGTGACACGTGTGAGATATCTGACGACGATGTCCTGCAAAGGCGTGGGTCGGGGTGAGCCGGGGAGGAATGGGAGGGGGGACTTGTACGCTGGACTGGCAGACGGCTGCATCTCGACGTTGACACTACTATCTGCTTTGGGGTACAGTCGAGCCTCGGTTCAAGACGCACTTTTGGGAGTCAACTCCCTCGGCCATCGACGCATTTTTCCTCGCGAGCAAAATGCCCCGCAGACTCGTGAAACAGTGGGGAATAAAAGCATAAATTTGCATCACAGGAGCCCTAAAATTCTTCGGTCAGGTCAGCTTCCTCAGCGTAGGCTGTGTGCCCTGAGAGCGGCCCTGCATTCGCTTGCTGCGCAAGTGCGGATAGATTCCTCTTGTCTGCTGGTGGTTCGTCCGCTTCCGGCACGACGACATGTTTTCGGTGGTACGTTCAACGTGAGGCATCAACAACAAAAACGCCACAAAGATGAAAACAACAACAGGTGCTTGGGGATGTGTGTGTGCAGGGCGTGTGTGTGTGCATGGGGATGTGGGGGGGTGGGGGTAGCCCATCTAGTCGAAATGAACAGAAAGTACGATCTGCATGCAAACATTCTGCCACGATCAGCGCACCCAACCGCCTTGGATCGCGATAGCCCTGAAGATCTATTCTCACCGCGCAAACACTGCCTTGCTGCCTCGTATGTAAGACAATCCGTGACATCAAAGACGGAGCCTTCCCCACATCGGAAGCGGGACTCCGTGGGCTCCAAATACGATATTCCACACGACAGAGTGGCGACTCTTTCGTATGATGTGGGTAAGATTGCAGACATGCGACAAAAGAGCAAGATCGCTTTCTAGGGATATGTTCTGCATGACCTCCTGCACACATGCACAACAGCCCTGTCCCTCACGGCTGCAAAGAGTCGAAAAGAGATATTATAGACGACTGCTGCTTGTACACACCTTCAGTTTGGACACACGTTGACTTCGGAATCACGGGACGCACTACACATCCGTCATGAGACCTGCCGCCAATACAGACACCAAACCTTGGTCACGGATGATCAGCCTAGTGGTGAACGATGTATCTGTCTGCACCTGCTGTCTCCGACGGAGCCAGCTCTCAAACAACGATTCAAAATTTTGATTTGAACACAAGGTCGCCACTGCTGTGTGGTGTTCTGTCGTTTATCCCTTTTTGTGCGAGAAAGGCCGATACGGTATTTGGAATCGACCAACCGCGCACAGTGCTGTGCGGCCTCCCTCACGCACGCTGCAATACTCGGGCAAACCTACACTTTACCCCCCATTCCCTGCCTTTCGTGCCAGCAGGTCTGATCCAAACAAACCCGCGGACATTTGCTCTAGATCCTCATGCGCTGTATGTGCCTCATGACAAGTTCAAATAGCTCTCAGCAACACAAAAAAGACCCCCACCTTGCCTTGGGAAAGGCGCAGATAGCGATGCAGGTTCCCGCTGGCGTCAACCCGGGCGATGCGGTGAACGGTGGCACCCTCTGCCTTTATCTACTGCCGTGGACAAGACGAGAGTCGTCGTGGTTGAAAATGTTCAAACCGCTGCTGTTCAAATTAATGTTCAATTTGCATCTCGGTCTCTCTCTCTCTCTCTCTCTCTCTCTCTCCGCAACAACAAAAATTAATGTTCAATTTGCATCTCGGTCTCTCTCTCTCTCTCTCTCTCTCTCCGCAACAACAAAAGCATGAACAACCATACGCAGCACTGCTGTGCAGCCTGTGTTATGCAGCCTGAGATACTCGAATGACCAGGACTCCTGTCACCTCCCGTCTGCCTACGAGATAGCTCCCACCCTGCAACATCAAAAAAACCCTGCAAGACGCGGTGGCAAGAGGAGCTTTTTTTTCGCGCAACAGAGAAGAGTCCGCAGGTCTTCTCGCTTACCTCTCGACGCAGTGAACGCAGAGGCCGGAGGCACGCTTCAGTCCGGAGGTGATGTACTATCCTGTGTCCCACGGGTGGTGCTGTCGCGGTGTCTCTTGTCGTTGAGCAATCCTCCGACCGCCCAGGCACACCAATTCTGCGGCGGCGCCAGAAACTCGAGATAGTAGATACGTAGCACAGGCGCTGTACATATTTTTTTTTTATTTTTCTTAATATTTTCTGGCCCCAAAAACATCGGACCGGGTGTACCGGATTTTGGCCACTCCTCAAAATCCAACGACCCAGCAACCCCGAACACGGCCGAATCGCCGAATCAAGACCGAATTTCGCCGCCGTTTGGCAGGAAGGGAATCGAGTAAGCTGGACGTCGCCCCTCCAGCTCGTCCCGTGCTCACGCTATGGCCCAGCGTCATAGTCCGGCTGTGACCAAGAGGCTGAATGGTTCATTGTCGCCAGTAAAGCTGCCCTAGCCATACCCAAGCACCACGCGTGGAGGCATCAGCCATGTCTAATAATCTGCCGCCACCTCTCTGCTGTGTTCGTGGGCTTCTTGGAGTCACCACATGTCTGCAACACCGGCGGACTTGTCTACCCATCGCTCCCTAAACCACCAAGGAGGACTTGAAAGAACAGCCTCGGCGACCTGTCAGGTGCTTATGGATGCATGCGACGTGTAAATGCGTGTGTGTGACGTGCAGAGGAATGTCGGCCGGAAGGACCCAGAACAGCAGTGCGCTACCTCTGCATAATAGACCACTTGCAATTGGACCCCCCGCACCAAAAAAATGCCAAAAAAATGCTCTGGGCGGAGGGGCGCGGGGGGTCCGATTGCAAGTGGTCTGATTATGCAGAGGTAGCGCACTGACTGTGAAAAGTAGGAAGAGGCGATGTGTGTAAAAAAATAGCTTTCTTTACCTTGGAGCGCTTCTCTCTGGGTGCTCTTCCCTGTCCCGCTTCACGCAGAAAAGTTAACAGTAGGGTTCGATGTGCAGTCGCACCCTTTTGGCCATGCCAACAACAAGAAGATAGACGGTTCTTGCTCGGCCTGCCTGCATGTAGGTATACAGCAGTAGTCCTTTGGTGTGCAGTGGTGGTGATGATGCCACACAAACAAGATCCCCGATCCCAATCTACCCTTCCTTCCTTGTCGCGCGGAGGGTGCCGAGCGGCAGCCATAATAATTATTTTAAGGGTTTTCCGCGAAGGATATCACAATAATAAGATTAAGATTACACGAAGGTCGATTGACGGGTCTCTGTCTCTCTATCTCTTGCTTATTTAGTATTCAAAGTGGCAGCAACAAGTCATCAGCCGATGTCGACTCGCGACCGATCGTGGATGACGTTGCCGGTCGACCATCTTCGGGGGTGGCTGCCTGTTTTGAAATCCCGACGAAGTTTTTTTTTGCCAATAAGCTATCTATGTAACTGCGTGCCACGTATTAATCTCTTTCTCGGCCGCCCGCCAGGCGTCGGCGTCGTCTCTGTGCACCAGGCGCCTGCGCAGCATCGTCCTCGCCCAGGCCTGGAAGTCCGGGAGGTCGGGATCCCCGCCGAGCGGGTGCGAGTTGAACCAGCGGTGCCCCGGCCCCGGGCAGAGGCGGGGGAACGGCAGGCGGAGGCGGAACCCGGCCCCGAAGACCGCCTGGCGCCTGTAGGTCTCTCCCTCCCGAGGGCCCAGGTAGCGCCAGCCGTTGCTCCTGTCGGGCAGGGGAGCGGCCTGGTCCACCTGCTCGGCGTAGCACCACCGGTACTCGGGCCGCGGGAGAGCCGTGGCGGCGGCATAGTAGTTTCTCTTTTTGTAGTGTTGTCGCAGCATTTAAAAGTAGGACGACAAAAAAAGTCGGCGATTATGGACGAACCGTCAACCACGGTGGAAGATCCCTCCCTGTGTTCTTGGTGATGGTTGTTGTGACGGCGGGGGGCAATAAGGAGACTCGCGTCCATTGTTTCACGGAAATTTTGGAGGAAGTATGTGTGTGTGTGCTGCCTCTCTGAAGGTAGGTGGTGGTGCATGTTGGATCCCTTATCTATCATCGTCGGCTGCGGGATCATCATTTTTTGGGCGTGGCGGGGGACACAGCGACGCCGCTGGATTCGACACAGGCGCAGAAAACAGAAAGATATGAGGCGCGGGGTGCGTGGGTCAAGAGCCCAGACTACCACTGCTGTGTCCATACTTTTTCCGACCAATCATCAGCGAGCTGCGTGCCACTTCGTACTACTGTACAGACCTGTCAGCTATGTAGACTATGTAGTAGCCGCTGGGACCGACTGCTCTCCGAGAAATCAGTCATACGTAGGGTGGTACTACTACTACTACAGAAAGAAGTGTGCGTGTCATCGAACCAATGATCTCTTACAATATCTCTTCTCTCTCTCTCTCTCTCCTTGTTTGTGTCTCTGGTGGATCAAGCAGGGGTGGACATGATGGATCGACTGCCGTAGTGCGTAGACTATGTCCCTTCGCTGAAATCTCTCTTCTCATGAAAACTCGACGAGCCACGGAACCTCTTCTTCTCTCTTCGAGCAGCCAGCACGAGGAGGAGAGTGATGTGGGCGTGAGGCAGCAGGGTGTATTCTTCGCCAAGCTTGGTTGGGCTGTCTACATCAATCGGTTGAAGACCGGAAAGATTCTTTGCTATCTATCCCACACCCCAAAGCAAGATTGAACGCGGAGATCTATCGGACGGTCGGAGGATCCATCTCTCTCTATTGTATCCCCGTTCGCCTGTAATCAGCCAGGATGATGAGGTCATCATTCGAAGACGACGCAGTCTAGCCAAGATCTCCCAGGGTGCAGTCCGCGAAATCGCCTTGGATGACGTCACCCGTCGTCCGAGGATCTTCGACCGTGCCCTATTTTTTTGCCGTTTTTAAAATTCCGCCGCAGGGGGCGTTGGCCAATCAGCGAACTGCGTGCCACAAATGTTTTTCTCTCTGCCAATCAGCGAACTGCGTGCCACAAATGTAATTCCGCCGCAGGGGGCGTTGGCCAATCAGCGAACTGCGTGCCACAAATGTTTTTCTCTCATGTTTTTCTCTATCAGCGAACTGCGTGCCACAAATGTTTTTCTCGTCATGGTAGCGGTTTACTTCTATATTATTTATGACAGGGGAAGGGATTCAGCAGCTGTACTGCACCCATGTATTTTTCGAAAAATATGAAATATACGTTGCGTCCGTGGCAAGGAGACACCCTGCACTGCTGTCCCATACCTGTTGACGCCGAGCTCGGCCTTCCGCGAGTCTATCTCCGTGAGCATGCCCTGGAACGAGGGCGAGGCGTCGTTGGGCAGCTGGAACGACACCTCGGCGCCCACGTTGCTGAGGAGGGTGGCGGCCTTCACGTGCGACCGCACCAGGCGCTTGATCGGCTTTACGCCCGCCTCCTGTGTTGGTGGGTGTTGATCGTCGTCGACACGAAACAACGGGACAAATACGGGACGCACACCCAAAATAGGAATAGTTGGCTGAATAATACGATTGGTTGGTGGCATGCCCGCTACATACACTTTGTCACAGCAGGTGTATGTGATGTCAGCCTTCTGTTAGCTTGGAAGTACATGGGCAAAAATCTCCTCTGTCCCCGTACGTACTCAAGAGAGAGAGAGAGAGAAGGGGCAGCAGTTGAGGGACTAAAGAGGGCACAGCAAGGGAAAAATTAACGTAACAAGGGCTGGGCGTCACAGAACAAACTCACCTGAGCCGCCGTGTTGTTTACGCCGATGTCCTCGTCGATCTTCCCCTCTGCGCTCGTGCCGCTTTCGAACGCGGGCTTCATGTCAGACTCAGCTCCCTGGATCTCCCGAACGATCGTGAGGTTGTACCTGACGGCAAAAATTTGAAAATGAGCAAGCAAGACATATTTATTAGTGGACCGTTTCAAAACGTTCCCCGGTTGTGTGTGCGTCTGTTGGTGTATGTGGCCTGATTCACGCCAATCGAAACTTCCCTTACCAACACAAAAACAAGCGGAGTCCTGTTTATTGAAAAAGCATGTGTCTATCAATAGCATCGACGACGACCCACAATGCCCGAATAGATCAGCGCGGATAGCTTTTCGTCTGGGCACCATCACCCTTGGTACCGACACACGACAACCGTTCGTCGAACGAACGGCAAACAAAAAAAAAAAATAGACCAAAAAGGCAGCAAGGGACCGACAGCCCTTCCGAGCACGCTTTGCGCGGCTACAGCAGCAACGCTGTCTCACAGTTGCGCGACTAACAGCAGTCTTGATTGAGCAACACAACTGGTCTCACCCGACGCCGTAGTGGTTCTTGAGGAAGATGGAGCTGCCGCAGCAACGGAGCGCGCCGTCGGCCATGATGGCCACGCGGTCGCCCAGCAGGTCCGCCTCGTCCATGAAGTGGGTAGTCAGGACGATCACGCGGCCCTCCCGGTTCTTGCGGATCAGGTCCCACGTGAAGCGTCGGCTGCGTGTGTTGGGTGTGGCGGGGACGGTGTGTTGCGTTAATGACTACAGTCAAGGCGCGTGTGTGTTCGGTTCTTGACAGCGTTGAAACTAGAGCTAGAATATTGTCGATTTCTAGTGTGATGGTACACGGTCGGCATGCCGCCACGACATGACAGCCGCACACGACGCATACACAGGACATCGAAGAACACCCGCCCGGCCACTTCTCCCGACACCCTCTCACCCCAGCGGTAGCCGACCACCCAATCAGATCACGCCCAAAGTTCACCTGTGAGGGTCCATCCCCGACGTAGGCTCGTCCAAGAAGACCACCTTAGACCCGCCGATCAGGGCGATGCCCACGGACAATTTGCGCTTTTGCCCGCCGGACAGAGTCGTGGTCAGCTCATTCTCCTTCTCGGTCAGGCCCACGTCGTTAAGAGTGTTCTGTGCGATGAGGGGCGTGCGATGAGGGGCGGGCCGGGAATGAAGGCGTGATCATATGTGCACCCTCGAAACAGACAAAAAAAAAGCACCGTAACAATCTCTCGGGTACATTGGCAGGCAGGGTGGGCGGTACAACAACGAAGCCCACCGAAGCAGCTCCCCTTGGTAACAGAGGCAAAAAACAGGACGTCAAAAGGCTTCGACAACACATCAGAAAGACAGACCACTTTGGGTCGGGTCTGAGCCACACATTGTTCTCACCGTGATCGCCTCCTGCAGCTCGGAGCTCGGCACGGACTTGAGCACCGCGTACATGCGCAGGTGCTCCCTCACGGTCAGGTCCGGGTACAGGATGTCGTGCTGAGGGCACACGCCCAGGGAGTTCCGGATGCTGACCATGTCCGTGTTCACATCGCGGCCGGCCACGAAAGCGCTCCCCGAAGTTACCGGGATCATGCCCGTCAACATGCCGATTGTGGTCGTCTGCGAAGCCAACAAGCACGCGGAACACACCGGCAAAGAACGAACAGCAGCGCGGGGGGGTTAGGTGAATGGTGCGGGGGGGCTAC